GACTGAATCAATCCCAACACATGTGGAGAAGATGAAAACTTGACTGATAACTGCCTCATGTCGAAGGACATTGAATTTCAAGCAGTCTCGTTGAAAACTACAATCTGTTTGTCAGATGAACACTGCTATTTGAAATGCGAGGCTGCTAGTCTGTTATTTTCTGCGATGAATAAATGAAGAGAGAAATTACTTCCCAGTTTAACTGATGTACGGTTCAAACCTTTAAAAGCTAAGCTATGGTCACGGGGCAGGTAATGTTACGTTTAACCAAACTCAATTATGACAGAGATGTTTTGGATTACACATCTACTATCTTGTTCCCTAAGTGTCTGATGACAAATATAATTGGAATCAGATTATAGAGTAAGAAAACTGAAAATCTATTTGCGGTGTAGTTTTTATTACACATTCAACACAGAGACCCCTGCCATGCATATGACCAAACACACCTTCTCTCCATTATAAGAATTCCCCTCTCTAATGCTTATTAATTTCACAGTAGATTATCTGCTCAGATACAAATGTGTTTTGGGACAGAGCTTTTTAATTAATTGTGTGCTTGGCTTTATAAGTAGACCCATAGTATTAGGTTGAACTGAAGTCTTAATGAATTAATTTCAATTGCAGTAGGCTATGTCTTTTTTAATGTAGCCTGGTGCCAAATAATAACCAGAAGTGCAGCCTTTCAAATTTTACAATACAATAGCAAATAAATAAACGTCAAATGTATTGTTATATTGGGATATAGCTTTGATTAAAGATGTTCAACGTGTTAGGATGATATGATCAGCAAACTGAAACAGAACTTAAATGTCGTCGTATTGCAGCTGTTTTGTTTAATAAATGAAAAGTATTGAAAACGCCCTCTGGAGGAAAAACGGATGTGTGAAAAAATATGAAGGACTAATAGTAGCACGAGCGTGAAAAGTTATACATTTAGTATTTTTTGAGGTATTATTGAACATTATTTAGGCCTATTGTTATTATTATTATTTAACCTATTTATTTTATTTTTACTCTGCTTTGACTGGTTTAGCTACACTGTGTTGGTAACGGACCCAACTCATTCGAGATAAAGCTTGTGAATGAATAAATAGGAATGCTTGTAGCCTAGCCTAGCCTAATTCTCTGAGTTGAAAGCTCAGGCCGAGTAAATGTGTTAAGGCCTAGTAAATGTGTAAGACTAAAGCCAGTCAGCATCAACGCACGCATTTACTTTAAGTCCAGGAATATTTCTTTGTCTGAAGAAGCATTTACAAGCAGGTAGTCCTACATTTAGGAATAATAGCCCACAGCCCCGCGCTGTCCTTTAATCTTAATCGGATACGTTTACTTTTAACGACACTTTGATTCACATCAAGGAGAAAACATAACCACACAAAGACAAAAGTCAAGTATTTGCAAGCTCTTCATGTAAATTTAGTAGAGACAAGTGCTTTCAAGCCTTCCATTAATGTGTTTTGTAAAGCTGAGGCAGTGTTTTTTTTTCGTGGAGTCATCTCGCCACCCTGTGGCCTCGTGTTTCCCAGATATCTTGCAAGTAATGCTGTGACTCACGTATTAGGCTATAGCAAATTTACAGTTGCTCATTTTGTAAAGCATTAGTAATCTGCTGCTCATTCTAACTTCTTCTTTAGCGTGCTTATTACAGTAATCTAGTTGCCTCTTTGACGAAGTGATTTTGCTCCTTTTTTGTAGTCGCCTTGTAAAAGCGACGCGTTTGCTATGCATTACTGTAAAGTAAACAAAACTTAACATCATTTGGTTAATTGGTAAAATTGCCTAGAGGTTAGACAGACAGACAGTTGTGATTGAACATTATGAGCACTAAACAAATAGAACAACGTTTCCAAAACAATTTTAAATGTTTACTTTAAAGTTTTATTCTAACATTGAAGATGCGTTATTTCCATAGGTTATTTCACTTGTCTCAATGACGCCATCTGCCGTCAGTCACGTGACAGAACTAGCCTCAAATTTAATTAATTGTTTGCTTATATTGTAATAAATTGCAATGTGGACTCATGTTTTTTTTATGTAAAGCTGCTTTGAAACGATGTGTATCCCGAAAAGCGCTATACAAATAAATGTGAACTGAATTGAATTTAGAATTTTTCTGAAAAATGTCTGGTTTAATTCAGACAAATAAATCCGCATGCATATTCTCTGAATTAAAATGTATAGGTCACATCAGTGACATTTAAAGGGATAGTTCACCCAAAAATAAAAATTCTGTCATTATTTACTTACTAATTCTAAACCTGTATGTATTTTATTATTATTTCATATGGAAGTCAATGTGGAACATTCAAACATTCTTCAAAATTTCTTATTTCGCCTCTGTTGTAATTGTGAAAATGGTAAATATAATTCCTCTTTATGCACACAAAAACAAATGATATACACTTTTACAACATACCTTCTCATTTACAATTTGATTTAATAGCATATTAATATTCAGGTAAGTGATAAGATTGCAAATCAGAGGACAAATTACCATTTATCCAATATTTTTTTTTCTTAAATTGTTCCCAAAAATGAAAAATCTGTCAGGAATTACTCACCCTCATGTCGTCAAGACTTTCGTTCATCTTGAAATCTAAGAGCGTTCAGTCTCTCCATTGACAGCCTCTGCAACTGTGATGCTTCAAAAAGTTCACAAAGAGACCCTAAAACGAATTCATGTTAATTGAGCGGTTTATCCACATTTTCTGAACAGACTCGATCGCTTTATATGATGAACAGATTTACAACACACACATCTGTTGAGGAGGTCACTTTCTCGCATGCGTGTTTGGCTGATTCTGTTCATGTTTGCTGATCAATGTAAATAAAGCTTAAATTAAATCTGTTCATCATATAAAACGATTGATTCTGTTCAGAACATTTTGACTAAACAGCTCCATTCCTATATTAGTTTTATGATCTCTGTATGAACTTTTTGAAGCATGACAGTGGTAGTTGCGTAGCTGTCAATGGAGAGACCGAAAGCTCTCAGATTTCATCAAAAAGATCTTCACTTGTGTTCTGAAGACAAGTGAAAGTCTTATAGATTTGGAACGACATGAGGGCGAGTAATTAATGACAGATTTTTCAATTTTGTGTGGATAAAACCCTTTAAAGCTTTAGTACAGAATTCAAATCAAGCATATTGTAAGATGGCATTTTAGCTGTTCAATTACCAGTTTTGCAGGCACGTTTTTGAATTGCAATTTGCAAATACATTTGCTCTCTGCAACTACAGTAATTGATTGAACTAATATGACACATGCAGGTGCCAGCCAGCAACAAGCACATAGACACAGCCATATCACTGGTTGAGTCTAGTCAGTCATACCTGTGAAAAACCAGGTTTTATGTTATCGAAGCCAGCAGGGGGCGCTCACCTGTGCTCTGAAGGGACACTTTACTGAAACAAACATCATCCTCTGCATGAGACATTAAAACAAGCAAAAATCCCACTGCACTCCTTGTAAAGAGGAAACTAAGAAATGGCTATATAGATCCTTAAAGGGATAGTTCACTTTGTTTCAATTAATTTTTGGTATGTTTTAGCTTACCTCAAGGGCATCCAAGATGTAGGTGTCTTTGTTTCCACAGTAGTTTCAATTTTCTTGTCTGTCAGTCATGTAATGCAGGTCTATGGTCACCACCTCAAAGAGCATGCACAGAGAAGTCCAAATTAAACATGATTTAAAGACTCGTAAATGTAAGTACACATTGATGGCCTAGGAAACGAGCAGTTTGTGTGAGAAAACAAACAGTATTTATATTGTTTTTACCTCTTGTAACCACACCCACATCCAAGTGATCTGAGGGCGCGGGCGCTTTGTGGCTGTATTGAAGTATTATGCAAAGACAATTTTTCCTTATCAAGAACCTTTTTGGCGTAAAGGGTTCTTTAACATCGAGCCAAAAATTTGTGCATTATATAATTGACTAGTGTCGATATGTGCAAATTAATAGAATTCTGTAATTAACACATTATTTTACACACTCTTTGAATACAAGAAAACCCTTTAGAGGTTCCCATGATCATTGTATGGATTTAGTGTTAATTGATTTTGTTTTATTTTATTTATGTATCTTATTATTAATAATGTTTGTGAATTACATGTAAAAAAGTATTGTGAAAAAGTATTGATCAAGTATCAAGTATTGATTTGTGAAAAAGAAAAGGGGGAAAAAAATGTGGTATTCCATAATTGTGTTTGTTTTTTAACATTAATAACGTTTGCTGTACAAGCTTAAATCAATACTTATCAAGAGTATAATTTTATAAAATGGTCTAAATGAATGCTATTAAGTCTATGTTACATCTACATCTAAATTGATCAGAAGTAATACTGCATTTTTGTGATTGGTGGTGCACATGCGCAGTAATAGCAGCAGGTGGATGCAATATCAATATCAATCACCAGGTGGCGCACGAGCATAATGCAATTTCAGGTACACCTGCTACATCTGAACCTGCGGCTACGTCATGACCCACGGGATGTAATCATATCCTTTATCATGGAAGAAATTGAAATGTTTAAAAATAATGACACATAATACTAAGACACATTCATTTTATGAAAATAGGTAAATATGGCAGATGTAAAAATGCTAGGTAAAGAGAAGTAGTAGAAATAATAATAATAATTATTATTATAGGCTAATCATAATAATAACAATAATAACAACAGCATGAGGTAGTGTTTCTGTCAGTACTTCCGTATTTACACACCCACAAAGGCGATACGTGTTGCCATATTTTCAAAAACATTTTGTAAATAATGTACAGTATATTGTCAATACACCTCGGGCTGTATATTTTAATGCATTAAATAGCGCTCCACTGAATAAAATATGTCATATTTTTCGTAGACTAAACCTTTGTTTTGTCAAGAAATGGGCATCCACACCTGCAGAAATCATGAGAATATTGAGGTAAATGTGTTTGTTTATGGCTCTCCGTAATCGAGGGGAGTTTTTTCAGCGGATCTGGCGCCCTGCCGTCGGTCGTTCGGTCAGTCAGTCAGGCAGCTGCTGTTCTTCACACACACACACAGGTCTGAATGGTGAAAGGAAGATAAAACCGGCTACAAAATCGCCTTTTACAGCGGAATGTTCACTCGAAGGGTTTATGGAGACGTCAAGAAATCTACACAGAAAGTTCTGGACCCAAAGAAGGATGTTTTCACGCGTTTGAAGCATCTACGCGCGCTGTTAGGTGAGTGAGACTCTGACAGGACTGAAACATTCAGAGGCATATTCCCTATACCGCGGATTTATCCTCAGCAAATTTGCGGGTTTCAAGGTTTAAATGCCACAGAGATGTTAAAATAGGGATTTGAGTGTGAAACAGGGGCATTAATGTGCGTGTTACTCCATTTGTGATCGATAATGTATGGATTGAATGATTAGCGTTAGCTAGCTTATCTTGCTACATCAACAACAGACCTGACAGACTGTTTTGTGAATATAACACATTATAAACAACAGCCATGACACACATAGATGTGTGAATATGTACAGAAAATATAAATAACACACGACACACACCCACACACATATTTGAACAACAAACATAATACAAGGATGTCTTACTCTTATATATATATATATATATATATATATATATATATATATATATATATATATATATATATAAACTACAAATATAGTAAAATGACATGTCTGAATTTATACAAAATATGTAAAAAACTGACCTGACAGAATGTCATGTGCGAATTTTGTAAGCATTTTGTTTGTGCTTGCAATCAATTCTTTTATACATTATTTTTTTGATAACGCAATGAAAGATGCTAAATTGCTGGCCAGGCGGTCATACAAAGAAATTTTGAACACACGTCAAAAACAGGAGAGCACAAACAGAAATATTAGCAACTGATCATGTTGTAGGTAATTTATGCTTTTCCCTGTGAGGTTCGTGTTTGTCTATGTATTTTTTTGTTGCATGGTAAAGTAGAACTTGTAGGTGTTGTTTGCCTTTTCATTCCCAAATAATCAAACTTGTAGAGTAATAGGCCTATCCCATCTAGACATCACTTGGCCACCATTGTGTATGTTTATTATGTAGAAAATCTGTACAAAATGCTGATATAGAGCCATATCGCACAGCGACAAGTGTAAATAAAATAAAATACAAGTATGTAAATAAGTAAGAAACAACCACAGAGTGTCTTTAACCCCCCCTTAAAACTACTTCCTTCTGCCATGGATTCAAATCTCAAGTTGATAGTTTATCAGTTGTAAAATGGTTTATTATAGGCTATTTATCATATAGGCCAACTGGTAAAACCAAAAAAACTTCCAACAAAAATGAAAACCACAATTGCAAATATAGACGAGATCCATTTTTGGATTTATTACAGTTCATCACTGAGAAGGTTTGATCGCAGGAAAGAGCACAAGCTCTTCTAGACACTTTAATTTAAACAGAAAATCTGAAATGGAGATTGCTGAACTGCAGCTTACTTTTTTGTCTGTTTTCAGATAATTTGCGCTTCTTCGGAGTGTAGAGAGAGCACGTTCGTATTATTGCCAGGATGCAAATATTAAGTAAAACACTGAAGAAAACGTGTTCTTTAAATCTTTGATTTGGGGATTTACATTCTTGAAATCTGGCAACCGTAATCATGAAAGCTGTGTTCAAAACGGTCTGTAATATTTTGTCCTCATTTATTTGACAAAAACAAAGTGATTTTGTTTTTTGAAGTAAGTTTTAGTCTCATCTTTTTTTCATCAATGATATTGTATTAATATAGTCACAATTATTGTTTTATGAAGTTGGAGTCATATCATCTTACATCTTAGGCATGGAAAAAAAGGTTGTCAATGAACATTTTATGTTATGGATTTCGTTAACATAATGAACACTAATAGCGAGCTAGCTTTGACAGCATGATATCCCTCCCTCCATTCAGTGCCTCTCCAAAGCCACGCCTCTGAAACACATGAACACGTACAGCAGGACGCAAACAAAAGTATCATGAGAGATGGTGTTAAACTATCTCATGTCTCAAAGCACATAACATTACAATAATAATGAACATAATCAACTTAAAATAAAACACTAAAACTCCTGCAGGTGGATTTCAGAGTTGATAGTGTTGCCATTGAAACACAAATTCCAGTCACGAACCACTCCAAGTATAACGTAACGGTTTTCCATCCCTTCCAAATGACAGTAGTTCTGGCGTGAACGCGGCATTAGCTCGTTGTTTCGGGTCTGGAGGAACTGTTAAAGGTGTTGCGGTTTCTGTTGTGGTGCTTGGTGACTGACGTCCGTCTAAAGGCCGGAATTTTCGCACGTTATGTCAATCACGCTTGCACACTGCCTCCGAAACTTTCGTCCATAGTAAAAAAAATCGAATCAGGTTTTTCGCATCCGTAGTTAGCAGTTTGAATGGTGTTTAAATGGTGTTTTGACAATTCATAGCCACCGAGTCACGAATGCGACAAATTTTGGACTCGGTGTATTGCTTAATAAAAATGGCTTGATGCCTTTCAGTAAGTATACTGTATCTTTCAACATACCTTCATGTGTCCATTCTGTAACTGAGGAAGAGATTACTCGCGCGTCGCGCTGCCGCTTGAAATGACGAGCCTTGTAAGCCTACAGCAATGTGTCACGCCACATCAAAGAACGCCAAAATGCCATTTATTGTTTGAATTTTGTGATCAAATAGACAGAATTTGAAAGATTACACCTTGCTTATAATCTAAAGTAACAAAACACGAAGCTTGTTATTTGGTGTTAATGGTGGTTGGGCTACAAAACTGAATTCGTTGTGTACTGTACACAACCAGTACATTGAGCCGGGCTGGGGCGTGTTCGGTACGCAATGAGAGGATCGCGATTCTAATCGTGAGTTCTGTATCACGGTTTTTCGGTTCGAATATCGTTACACCCCTAGTATTGTTTGTCTTCTATTTTGTTTTATTCTCTTATTCTATTTAATTTTTTCTTTACTCTGTTCAGCACTTTGTTTTTTTTGTTGGTTTTTTTACGGATTTTTTTGGCGGGGCTAAAACAGGGCTCGACGACACACTGGAGCACCTGAGCTCGTGGACACGCCCCTACTTGATGACGCACTGAGGCTGATCTATCCCCTAACAAAAGAGCACATTCGCCGCTCAATCGCGAGTTACTGTCAGTACGATTAGTTACTACAGCCTACAGTTTGCTAGCTAGCTATGCCTTCAACACACACATGCATAGTCTACTACCTGGATGCGATAATGTACAAAACAGATCAGTGTTTTTAATTTCCTAAAAACGATCACATCAAGAAGAGGTGGATTAATTTTGTGTAGAGCCAACCTTGATGAAGAGCTGAGGATCACCGCCAACACCCGCCTCTGTAGTGATCATTTTACACTGGATCGATTTATAAACTTTCCTGAGAGACAACTGGGATTCACTGATAATCCGCTGTTACTGGTGAACCGGGCCGAAACGACTATCTCCCGCCTCAGCGTTCATCCTCCCGCCCCGAAAGCATTTTCACCTAATATAACCGTTGACACTAGCTTTCCCGCGAGTGGGCGTGGTTTCCATGCAGCCAGTGGACACGCCCCCAGCGGTTGAGAACAGAGAAAACTGCTCATTTTTTCAAGATTTTGATCGCTTATTTTACGTACGTGCCAGCTTTTTTATTATTCAAATATGGCTGGGTGGCTAATATCACATTTTTCTGTGGTGTGACAAACTCAGAACACCTACTTAATTTTGACTTTACAGGGACTTTAAACTTGTAGCATGATGAGAGACGCATTACCTGCAGATATACCTTAGGTCAATCATATAGCCTATTCATAATCACAAAATCAGTTTGAACACCCTTTGAGCAAAGTAATATCTTTGTCTTTGTCCTTTTAACAGTTAAAGGGATTTCCCATGACAGCGCTAGTCAAATCAATTGTAAATTGTGTCTTTATAGGCAAAGTAAAAATATAAACTTTATTGTTTAAAGTAAATATAAATGTCCTAGCTATTTTACATTTTACTACTGACTCATAAAGACAATAATGTAACTTTCACTGAAGTCGAGATCACAATTACTAATGGATAGGGATCGATTACAAATCCTGCTGATGCATTGACCTTGAAACATGTATTTTGGATTTAAATTTCAATCAGTAATTGATGTAAAATGCTAAGAATCGAATTAATTGCGCTCAGATACGGCACTCTTTGCCGCCTTTCATTGGATTGCGCTCTCTTTCATGTCCATAAGTCTAGTTTCATCTCACTGGGTTTTGAGAAACATGAAATCTCTGTACTTGCTCTATGTTTCACCCTATCATTTTATTTTATTTTTTACACTGCAAGTTTATCAGTGCTTTTCCTGCTGACTCATTTCTGGTTCAGTGTAAAGGCAAGTAAGCAGAGGTCAGAGGTCAGAGGATGCTGTCTGTGTGTTTTTGTGGTCGGTATAGCTAGATATAACCGGTGTGTTTTGCCATCAGCTGTTATGAGGATCTCAACTATCACCCAGCTGCAGTGTGACATTGTCCAGTGTTTTCATAAAAGGAAGAATTTCCTCTCACAGGCTGCTTCCTGTGTGGACAGGAAGTGAGGATGAGTGAGGTGCTATAGAGAAGGGCCATTAGTGGCCTGGTTTTATTTATTTATTTATTTATTTATTCCCCACTTATTTTTAATTCTCTGTGCTGTTATTTATTTGTTTGGTTGCTTGTGTTATTGAATATGTTTTGATCACGTGTTCAGGCCATTTCAGGTTAATGAATCACAAACAGACAAATCTGCCCAAGCAAAACCCTGTCCAGTGTCCTTTGCCCACTAAAGGAGCTGACGTTTTAATGTTGTTGGCCAAATCGTTGGTGCCTATAAAATCAATAATGTTTTCAATAATAATGTAGCTTTGTGCAACATAAATTATAATTAATGATTAGTATTAGTTCAGTTAAAGGTAAAAGGTGTAATTTCTGCACCCATAGCAGCACCAAACAGAATTAAAAAAATAATGGTCAAGCATGTCAGTTTTATTTTATTTTTTTTAAGTATGGACTGCAGGTTGGGTACCGTTCACATTTTAACCGTTACCAGTACCGGTACGTGAAATTTGGACCTTTTTTTTGTGACTAGGCATGTTTGCCTCATTAACTGTAAAGGAACTGTGAGAAGTGTTATTGACATTATGCCAGATCTGCATTGGTTGCTGTCTGCTATTGCCTGTGAAG